AAAAAAAAAAAAAAAAAAAAAAAAAAAAAAAAAAAAAAAAAAAAAAAAAAAAAAAAAAAAAAAAAAAAAAAAAAAAAAAAAAAAAAAAAAAAAAAAAAAAAAAAAAAAAAAAAAAAAAAAATAAAAAAAAAAGAAAAACATCTCTAAACGATGTTAAATTAGCATGCAATTACTTTTGTCCTCCGTTATCCAACCACGAGTTCCATATACGAGTTCCACCAACACGAAACTCTCTTTCTCGCTCGAACAATTATTCGCACGGTACCTTAAATGCAAATTGATCGCACGTAACTTTTGTACTATATAATACCATCTCTGTAATCGCAGTTGTTCTTGCAAATAAAGCTTACCGATCGTTCCAACCGATTTGTTTCCCGAGTTTTATTGACAAGAACAATACTTTATATGTGCAGCAACGATTCGACGAAATGGAAGCCAAAATTAACGACCTACGAGACGAAATAGAGACCATCAAGGCTGAGAAGTGTCGTTTGGAGAAGCAGATTGAAATCGAATCGGAGGTAATTTTTTGTTAATCTCGATATACCTCAGGGATAGTTTTAAAAATATTGATTGCTCGATAGTGAAATCAAGACTATATAGGAGAGTGTATAAATTTGAAAAGGAAAAAATAGGAATATTAATAATGTCAAGTGTAAGTAATAATTTGGAGAAAAATGTTTATTTATTAATCTAAGTTATTGAAAATTTTCGTTTAATTATTCTAAGTTAATTTTTACTCGAAGGTAAAGAAGGGAAGTTTCGTTTGAAACAAAATCAGAATAAAATATATTTAAAGCGAGCAAAATTTCTTTAAGTAAGTGAAGTCAGTAAGTGAAGACTATAGGAGATGTGTATAGATTTGAACAAATTTTTAATGGAAGTACAATAGAGAACCGTAACGTTTTCATTCAAATTACAATAGTTTATGAAAATTTTCTTTCGATATTTGAGAGAGATCGGCGACTTGGGAAAAATTTTGTTAATTCTGAAACGTTATTCAATTGAAAAGCTTAAAAATGAAGAAGGTTATTAATTATTTCCCTTAAAAGTTTGACGCATTTATTCTGCATACAAGATAATATTTTTATTCTTATTAATGTAATATCTTTAATTGCAAAAGTTTTTTATATAAAATTCCTTTAATTATGTTTTTTGGAAGTTGACGTGTTTTCTTTTACCCTTCCTATCTTGGAAGCTCGTACTTTTATGAATTACTGGAGTAACGTTTGTTTCTTTTCATCATCAGAAATGAATCATCTCCATTTATAATCTTACCGGAAAACAAATTTTGCCCAATTTAAATATTTGATTCTGACTTTTTTTTTTTAACGAAACTTCCTTTTACTTTTAAGTAAAAAATAATTTAGAGTAATTAAATAAACGGAAATTTTAAATAATTTATCTCAATCATTTGTTTCAAATTATTACTTACACTATTACTTACACATGAATGGGGAATAACATCATTAAAGATAAATAAATAATTAAATTACAAATCAGTTTAGAGCCACTGTATAAATTGTATTGAGATTCTTTATTTCTTTCTAGTTTACTTTTATGTATAAACTACCTCTTTTTACATTTTTTTACATACTAGGATTAAGATAATTTTAATTATCTTCAATTACATTTTATAGTTAACTGTACTTGAGACTCTTTTCTGTTACCGCCCACATACGCTCTTATTATATTAACTCTACTGTTTGAGTTTGTTGAACTTAAAACGATTCTTATTTGTTTTTCTCATACGTACAACGTTTACATTCGTTATTTCTTCTTACTCTGAATCGTTAATTTTGTTCTAAAAAATTATTCTAATCCACATTCTTATGCGTACAAATAAATAAAAATGATTTCACCTTCAGTTAGATCAATATTCGCAATCGCGCAATAACGCAAGAAAAGAAAAAGAAAAATGTACATATTCATTATTGATATCTTTTTGAACGAATATTTGTTTCACAGGAGCTGCAAGAACGACTTCAAGACAGGGAGCAGAAAATAGAGATCCTGGAGATCGAGAAACAGACGATAAATGATGAATTACTGGACAAGATACAGGAGCTGGACAAGTTGAAGGATTCGACGAAAAACGAAGCCGAGGAGGACTCGACTGAACGAGAGAATCTTCTCCGCGAGATCCAGCTTCGAAACGCGGAGATCGAGGAGAAGAATCAGAAGATCGAGCAGCTGTCGAAGGAGCTGCAAGTGAAAACGCAGAACCTGCAGAAGCTGGTGAACACAGAGCTGTGGAGCAAGAACAAGGAGATCGCCAAGCTCCATAATCACATGACCGCCTCTCACTGTCATGAAAGGAGCCGAAACAAGTCGGACATGATACAAGAAAGCGCTAGTGCACAGCTATCGACCCTGATCAAAGAGCTAAACGACATTGGTATCAAGGTGACGTTTACCAAAGAGGTGATCCAACTGAACTACGTCGACGGGAATGAGCCCATAGACGTAAAAACCATGACAGACTATGTACAGAAGCTGGTAGCCCAGAAGAACGAACTGGAGAAGGAAGTCGACTACCTAAAATGGTTGAAACTAGTCTCGAAACCAGATATTGCCACGGAGATCGATGGATACGGTGATAATCAGACGGAAAGAGCTAAGAAATATTGCGAACTTTTGCGTACACATTTGAAGGACTTGGTGAAGTTTATGAAAGAAATGCTGAATAACGTGGATTACGCGGATACCATTGGTAACGAACGCAAGAAGACCGTGTTCGACGTTTTAATGAATTCGAAGATACTGTCTGATGATTTTGTTAACGCGCTGGAGGGAATCTCAACTAACGATTTGGCGTTCAACACGGACGAAATTAACGCGAGATCGATGGACAATTCGGTGAAGAAGAGTAGGTCTGATAATCTGTTCAGCGCCACAAAGAATCAAGCCTCCACGCAGTCCGACTCTGAGGCGTTTTCTGAACCAGATAGAACAGTCTCCCTGGCTAGAATTGGATTGCAGGAGACACAACAGAAGTCTTTGAATCGATCCAGGTTCTCCAAGTACACTAAGACCTTCACCGATTCCGAGGATTCTTTGGAATATGTGCCTTATCATAAGACCTATCAAAATGACCTAAACGATTCTGAGGCTAATCATCAGATACAAGAGCTCAAAGAAACAAATGCTTTATTATACACAGAGCTTAGTTCCCTCAGGAATGAACTGACTTCTAAAATTTCTTTCAATTGTGTAAGTATGCTCTACGTACTTAATTTTGTTTATACTTTACACGAGCTGTTTAAAAATATGACGAATTAATATCACCATGTTTCATGTTGTTTCAAGGTGTTCGATGAAAAAATATCGCCGTTGATCCTTAAATTAGAAAAGTCACAGAAATACTGTGAGAAATTACAGTCTGCTTTGGAGGGGAAAGTGCACGAAGTTCATGCATTGAAGAAGGAAAGCAAGCAACACTGCGTCCGTAGAACGCAATTGGAAAAGAAATTGGTTGACCTAGAGAGCATGGCAGCTGAACTGAATAAACAGAAAGCCGAGTTGATTCATTACAAAGAGAACGCCGAAAGGAAAACCGCAGAGATGTTAATAACACTTAATAGGGAGAATGACGCGGTAATCCATTTTTTTCTCATATTGTAGAATTAACTTTTACTAATTTTAAGGATGAATGTTATGCAACTTTATTTACAATTCATGAAAAACAAATTTATTTAGAATTTATTAAAGTTTGAAAGGTTTTTAAATATGTAATATTTGATAAGACAGTGATTTTTACTTCTTACATGTAGTTTATTAATAATAAAAAATTTCTTTCGTTTTATTCCATAGATTTAAAAATTTTTCGAATTTCTAACTTTGCACGACAATTTTTTGCATAATTTCAGTTGAGGACGCGAATCAAAAAGCTGGAAGATGAGAATGAAGCTGCGAAAGCAAGCATATCAGCGTTGACAAAAGAACTGGACCATTTGACACTTTCGCACAGCCAAATCCTTGTGGAAAACACGAAGCTAACGAATGATAAGTTACGTTTAGAGCAAGAAGTAAGGAAAACGGAAAGCAGATGCGATATAACTGTTCATTCTATGCATGATAAATTTAATAAAGAAGTAAGATCGATTACCCATGGTGTATACTACAATTCAATTTAAATTAATCAATAGCAGCATTTTTGATGAAATTTGATTGTTTCCTTTCAGATATCAGATCTGAATCAAATTAACGAATCGCACAGAGTAAGATTGCAGGAACTGGAAGTTACTAACAAAGAACTTCGAAGGCATGTTGCAGTTTGTGAAGCGAGCGATTCAGCGCCAAGTTCTAGCGGCGTTTCTTCGATACCTACAGAGGCTATGTTGAAACAGACTTGCGAAGACATCATGCAGGAATATCAAGCGTACAACGTTAGTTGACCGTTTTTTACTAAAAATTTCTGTACTTTTCTTTATTGTTTTCAAATATGGAATTTAAAAACATGGAGTAGTTGATCGATTATTTTACACAACTATATTTTTCAGATTTTAATTTTTGATTATTAACATGATTTAGTCTCATTTTCCTAAATTCTCGAATTTGCATTTTTATCTTTTGATCTATTATTAACTATAATATTTCTTTATGAAACATGTGAATAGTTGAAATAGTGATTAGTCATATAGTTGATAAAGCAGTGATCTAGCTGACCAGAGTTTCAACTCAATTTCCCTTTCTTGTGCTTTTTCATTACATATTCAAAGAAGCGTTTATTCAAATATTCAAATTCAAACTTAACAAATAATTAGGAGTTTGCCACAATTTATAAATTAAATTAAAGTATTATTGTAGTGAAATTATTCTAAGCAGTGTTTCTTTATTCAAGTGATGTTGATGCTGAGACTTGAAGTACTATTTTGATTTATTATAGAATTCGCAATACTGGGTACCTATAAGTTACCCAACGATCGGAGGACGTAGTAAATCAAGTTGTTCGCCTGATTTGGGGATTGAAAGTGATGCGGCTGTTACGACAATGAGACCATTGAAAGATACTTTAAAAATCACCGAATCAATGACCAATTTATTGAGCGACGAAGATAACAGCAATGGTAACAGGTCAATTCGAGAAGTGGATAGTGAAAGTCCGTTGCCGATAGAAGGTAATTTGATTTGTACTCAACGTATTTGCTACAGAAAGACTACTTAATTTAATAATATTATAAAATATCATTTTTATTTTCATTTTTGTAACTTAATTCGAAACTTGCATTACACTTACTGACAGTGAAAATTCTATATTATTGTCACTGATGCTACGAAAGAATGAAATAATATTTGAATTATGCAAAGATATTTCAATTTTTTGTCGTACTTTTTTATAAGTAAAGTTCGTTACATTTCAGGTCTCGACGAAGTAGAAGCTTTGAAGCAAGAAAATGAAACGCTGAAAAGGAGGTTGATGAAAACGAGGAGGGCATTGGAAGACACTTTCCAGCATCTTTCTGCATCGAATAAGAATAAAAAGAACGTCGAGAAAGCGATAACGAAACAGTTACAGATTACTAAGAGCATTTTGAAGAAAACGAGGACGTACGAGGAACAGTTAGATAATTAACGGAAATGGAGAGATTGAAAAGAAAATTTTATACAGCGAAAAGAAAACCAAATATAAAGTCGCTAATCGTTACAGTTTTTTAAAAACTGACATCGTTTATTTTTTATAATCGCGTATTTACTGTACTTCTGACTTTTGCACGCTGTTTGATTTATTTAAAATCTTAAATAATGATCGTTGACGAACGAATTATATTTGTACAAATTAACGAACGACAGTGACGCTTGTTGTATTTTGAAAAAAAAAAAAAAAAAAGTATTTCTGAAAGTATTTTCGTATAGTCTCGAAAGGTTACGAAAAGAAAGGGAGAACAAAAACTGATATGAAGCAAAACGGCAATGAAAGAAAAACTTCGTGAAGGAAATGGAGCTGTATATTATGAGTTTTGTATATAATTGTGTATGTGTATTCGAGTTCTTTTGTAGATTGTTTCTTCTCTCCAAAGGTTAACTGCAACCTTATCATCGAAACGAAAACTGTCCATTTTATCGTATTTCGTGTTCTCGACGACCAGAAATTCGCGCGCGTGTACATAAAAATATCGAAGATATCATTACACAGCATCTGTACATAGTCTTCACAAATAAAGTGCCATTGATATTTGACAAGAATGTTGGGATCAACCAAAATTTATTTCCTATTTTCAGTTCTTAGTTGTTTACCCTGGTTATACTTTCCTTTGTTTATTACATTGTATTCCTTAATGCAATAAAATTTTCAACCAAGTCTTACTATCCTAATCTTCTATTAAATATAAAATTATTAAATAAAATGAAAAATAAGCATTAGT